TATTACTTAACTTTGTTGATACGATCGGCATGATCGTAGTCACTTTTGGATCCAAGTTGAAGAGTTATGTCTGCTCGGAGACATTCGGGCGTTGTGTCCCTCCGTCCGGTTCTCCTGCTGGAAATCCGTGTGTCTGTCGTGTCCGGGGAGGGGGGCTAGAGGGTGGCATGGAGGGGCTGCAGCGTGTGGGGTGGGGGTTGTTGTATCCTCTTCTTGGATGTGGGGTCATCAGTATTTGGATCGGCTGAGCGGTGACAGTAGAGCTGAACTGGATAATATTTCTCCCTGGGCTATCGTTGCAGTGGCGATGTGGTGTGTTTGTGTGGTTGCGGGGGTTGCGTGGTGGGGGAAGCCAGCCCCGGGTGCTTGCCGCTGGCTGGGGACCTCTTGCCAGGTGAGTTTACCCCATCTTGGTGTGGGGTCGGGGATTCCATCGTGGGGGCAGTGTGGGCAGAGGCTGGGGTGGCATTGCACAGGGCCCTTGCCCTGCCGTCGTGGCGTGCTGTGTTATAGGAGACAGGATGCGGTGGGGGTGCTTGGAGTGGGGCTGTGTGTGTGTGACTTGCATATTTTTATGAAGAAACCTTGTATACACAAGTACACTCACACTCAGACCCACAGGTGTTTAGATTCAGGTGTTAACAGATAGACAAATGTTCTATATTGAGCGGCATTTACCATTAATACATGTTGGACTGATAAGTTCCGTGCACTTTTTGGTAAAAAAGCTGGTAATACGAATGTTTCTGTAGGTGCAGAAGCAAGCAGGGTGTTATCTTGTATTCTCTTCATCCTTCTTTCTCTCTGCCATTCTTTTCTCCTTCTCTCCCTTTTTCCTTTTTGCCCCACCTCTCTCTCTTTCATGCTTCTTATTTTTTTCCTTTTTGTTTCTGTCTCAGTGTCCATAACAACTGAAATAATCCCAAAGCAGTTTCTAATAAAGTTTATTTTATAAATATCAAACAGAGCTTTAAAGCATTAGCTGTAACACTGCACTTGTAAATCTGTTGGGCTTTTTCTTGGCACTCAGACAACAATTTTGACCGCTACACTGCCGGACAGGACAAGGTTTAAAAAAAAAAAAAAAAAGGGAAATCCGTGTGGTAGAGGCCACTATGTTAGAACACGTTTTTGTTCAAACAGTAATGTCACGGGAAGTCAGCTATGACTCCTTCTCTTACTGGGCTGGGTTAAGCACAAGTAAGTGTGACACTGAAAGGCGTAGAAAAGTTCATACTGGTCTTCGTTGTACAGTCTGGTAGCTCTCATCTTCCTCTGGACAATACTCGGTAGATTCTCTAGGGGTTCAGGTCAGGCCAGTTTGCTGTGCCAATCAAGAATAGGAACACCATGGTCATTGGACCATCTTTTGGTACCTTTGGTAGTGTGGGCCATTACCAAGTTCTGCTGAAAAATGAAATTAGCACCTCCATAAAGCTTGTCAGCAGAAGGAAGCATGAAGTGCTCTAAAATGTTCTGATAGATGGCTGCATTGACTGTGCACTTCAGAAAACCTAGTTGACCAGAACCAGCAGATGACATGGCGCCCCAGATCATCACTGACTGTGAAAACCTCCCACTGGATGTCAAGCAAAATTGATTTTGTGCCTTTCCACTCTTCCCCCAGATTCTGGGACCCTAATTTCCAAATAAAATGGAAACTTTACTTTCATCTGAAAAGAGGACTTTGGACCACTGATCAACAGTCCGGTTCATTTTCTCCTTAGCCCAAGTAAGACGCATCTGACTTTGTGTCTGGTTTAGGAATGGCTTGACACGAGGAATGAGACATTTGTAGCCCTTGTGTATGATTCATCTGTGTGTAGGGGCACTTGATTTGCTGACTCCAACCTCAGTCTACGCCTTCTGAAGCTCTCCCACATTATGAATGGATTTTACTTGACAATCCTCTCAAGGCTGTGGTTATCCCTGATGGTGGTGAACCTTTTCCTACTACACTTTATCTTTCCACTCATCATGTTGTGAGGCAGTTGTATGAAAGTTGACTTAAGTTATCACCTGTAAGTCATACTCATCAAAATTATGTAGGCTGGAAATATTTTACTCTGTGTGTAATGAATATATACAGTATATGATTTTCATTTTATAAAATGAGTGAAAAATTATTGAACTTTTTCTGAATTTTCCAGTCTTTAGAGATGTACCTTTATATGTTTAATAGAGTCATTTCTTGACCGTTTATATTGATCTCAACGCATATGTTTCTGCCTTCAGTATCAGTAACTTCCTTCCTCCCAAGCCTGCTCAAACCTTCTGTAGTAAAGTGAAATGTTGCCAGGAAGATGAGTCTGAATCAGATGTTCTGGATGTGTAGTACTGAATCATGTAATATTACATCAGATCAATAAAATAACATTTTTAATACAGAAATGTGGATTTATTGACAAATATGTTTAACACCTGCTTAAAGGTTATTATTCTAGTCTGACAAATGAATCTCATCAGAATGCAGATTCTAATTTATTGAGTATTTTTATAGCCAACCCGGTATCTGGTTGCAGATTGTGAACGTCAGTGTGTGTGCACACTATAAGACACTTTATATTTAGAAATCATCCCTTTAGCCATATCTAACCCATGTATCAAATATTTTCCTGACTAATCATCAAATGACTTTATAAAAAATGCAAACCTGAGAGTAAACTTGAAAATAATGCTTCTGATCTGAATCGTTGAGGACCTGGGCTAATCAGCAAATCTTTAAGGCCATCTTATGAATATGGAGCAGGATCCTCACTTACTGACATTTACAGTACCAGCAGCACTGAGTTAGCTGTGAGCCAGCACCACAGAGAATGACTTTTGAGTACAAGAGTAGGATTGGGCCCTGAACGCAGCACTCTCTGTCACAGGAGGCATTTCACATTTAAGACAAGTAGAGTGCTGCCTTCTGGCATAGAAAAGCCCACTTTGAAATTCAGCTGGAGTATGCAAGGAAATTTATATTCTGTTTTCCTCCTCAGTGGCTCCACTGGGAATTCCAAATCTTTTGACCTCAACTTAAGAGCTACAGTATTTTGCCACATTAATATGCTAACAGTGCTAATGTTAATGTTATCACAACCACTAAAACCGTCAGATTTGGTAATGTTCATCAGCCAGATGTACTGAACAAATTGCATTGTTTTAATCCTAAACACATGCACAACTTTTATGTGCAAAACTGAAGTCCAGAATTCTTCATTCAGCTGTTCAAATTTAAAAGGCATCAAACACTTAAATTAAGCAGAAAGGACTCCCAGCTGTCACCAAAGTCTCCTATAGGGAACATGTTTCTCATTCAGTTACAGTGACGATGAAGAAAAAAAAGTGGACCACACCAAAGATTTATATCAGCATTCTCACGGCCATAATCTACACTGCACCTAATTATTCACCTGAAACAAGCTCAATCTAACTGTAACCACTACTTCACAAAGTATGTAAAATAACTGTTAGTACGATAATAATAAAACAATGTGTAAACAAGGCCTCAGTCAGTCAGTTCAGTGAATGTGCGTAAATAAGGGGCTTGGTCACTTAAATGGATTTAAGTCATCAGGGACCCCCTTTTAATATACAAGCTTATCTGATGTCCGAGCAAGAATTCAGCTCCAGGTTCCAACACAACCAGCCTCTCAGTGGTGTCCATGACTTCAGTCCAAATCACCGGGATGGTTAGACCCTCCTGCTTCTGGCAACTTCAGTCACTTACTCATAGAGATCAGCGGTATGAAAAAACCAACCTGCATGTAGAGCGTTAACCAATTAAAACCTATATTATGCATTAGGCAGGTAAATAGGAATCAGAAAGACCTTATAATTATCTTATTCTCATCGTAAATACATTCATATCAAACAAAGTGTAACCATTACTAAAGAACCTAGCATTAGTTGACACAGTTACAGATATCCTGGTTGTTTTATTGTGTTTCATTTTCTGTTTAGCAAAGAAACTTGGAAATATTAGCTCTGGGTAGACAGCCTTCCCACTTAAGGGACCAGTCATCCCTAGCTGTTTTTAACTTTATGTTATGTTATATTGCCATTTGTGGGCCTTTAAGCTGCTAAAATAATGACCTGAAACAAAACAAATACATGCATGCAAATGTACCTGTATGTAAATACAGAACAATGAATAGGGAAAGTAATTGTTCTAAGTAAACAATAAAAAGTTCAGTACATTGTTGGATTGAAAAATTTTTATTTTTCTATAATGGGCTCACATACAGCTTTGATAATTCTTTTTTTTTAAACAATGGGTCTTCAACTTTTCTTATTATCATTATAATTTCCGTAATTAACATAGGATCAAAATCATACATACATGCCCATATACATACATGCCTCAATATCTGGTTACACGTGCCTTAGCAAGTTGCATAGGCTGTTTGGCATAATTCTGGCAACATATTTTGTCACTATTCTTGGCAGGTAATTATCTGCTTTATGCAGTTTTGTTCATTGTTTGGAATCATTGTCCTGCTGGAACACCTAATTGTGTCCACAGTTAACTATAATTTAAGGATCATGCTAAAAATTCAATTAAAAATTCATTTTTTTTTATCATAAATACGAACCCATTCAATAAATTTAAATATTATTGAAAGGTTTATTAATTTCAGTATCTTCATCAGTAAGTGAAACACACTACACAGATTTGTTGAACACAGATCGTTGTTTTCAAGTATCCGTCTGTGTGAATGCTTGTTAATTATGATTTTCTGCTTCCAGCTAATGAAAACACAATTTATTTATTTTTTCCAAGAACTTTTTCATTCATCACCTTGACGGATACGAACAAGGTGGTAGGCATTTTTTAAAATCCAATTTGGTAAAGATTGTGGAACCACGTACTGGCTCGAATGCGGATGATAGGAGTGGCAGAGGATATTTATTTATTTTTTTAAAGAATTTTTTTCGCCACTAGAGGCCTTTATTTTTGATAGTAGGCAGACAGGAAGGAGGGGTAAAGAGAAGGGGAGACATTCGGTAAAGCTTGCCGGGTCCGGGAGTCGAACCCGGGACGGCCGCTTTGAGGACTACAGCCTCTATATCTGGTCGCGCGCTAACCCGCGCGCTAACCCCTACACCACCGAAAACAAAATATTTAACAAATAAATATTTATTACATGAGGTCAATGAAATAATTTTTAATACAGAAATGTGGGATTAATGAAAAGCATATTTAATACCTACTTAATTAATCAATCAAAGTTTATTTAGATGCTTTTTAACAATCTGAATGAGGCTCAAAGTGCGTTACATGACGGGAGTATTAAAGCAAGAAGAAAAAAGTGAAAAAGAGGTACTAAAATACATAGTAAATGATTAAAAGATTAAAAAACATGTAAAACGTTTTTTAGAAAATACATACAAAGTATAAAGATATAAAGGATATTATTTGGATGGACACATCCTGATAAGTGACATATGAACATCACACCTAAAGAATGCCTATATGTCAAATGCCCGACTAAATAGCTGTTTTTAGCTGTGATCTAAAACCTTCTAGCTCAGTGACGGATCACAGCTCTGTTGGCAATGAGGTCCAGAGAATAGGAGCAAATACAGTAGACAAAAATCCCCCCCATATTTTATATTCTGTAGAGTCACATTCTCAGATGAGCACAAAGCCCTGACATTGTTAAAAGCTCAGACAGGTAAAAGTTATTATTTTCAGTTGCTCTGTTCTGGCTCCTTAATGCTGCAAAGATGAAATTAAGTAAACATTTCCGTAAATTATTTTTAAAATGCATTTTTCACTGTTTCTAAATAGCTCACTGTCTCCACAGGGAAACAAAAAATTAAAGTGGAGTGTTAAAACAATGTTAAGGAATTGAAACTGATATTACAGATCAGTACTCGTACATCAGGTGGCATGATGAGGTAGAACAGTAATAAACAAATATTCTTTCAGAACCACAGATGAACCATTATTGTTTTAACAAAACTAAAACCATAAAACCATCATTTATAAAACAACATTACTAATATCTGAAGGATTTGATCCTTATTTTTTTGTTTTCAAAAATCAATTAAATATTCCACAAATCACCCAACTAGTTTTATGAATCTTTAAGTAGTGTGGAATATCCCAGTCCAGGTTTCACTTGACCGTTGCAGTTTTCATGCTAGTCTAATAAAAAAATAAATATCATACTGTGTTTTAAATAATCTCTATTCAGTATAGAATTATCCAGTTCATGTTTAAGTTTTGTTGGTTTCTTTTTTCGTATTTCGTCATTTCATTTCTGGCACACCATGCCTACATGTGCCAGGGCAGCTTTGCTCTATGAAAAGGATATCTGGAGATGGTTTCCTAATTGCTTGATTTACTTTTTAAAATTAGGGTTGCCTCTGGCATCAGGGTAGCCAGGTTCCATTAATAAAACATGAATCTGTGTTTGTATGACCTTGAACCTTGTGGAGTGTGTGTATAAAGCGGATGTGTGTGGTAATTTGTCAGCTGGAATTTCGAAGATGTTACAATGGGGAGAGGAGAAGAAACCTTGCCGCACTTAGCACCCAACAGTGGCAATGCACGTTTGGCTTTGGCTAACAGAGGCAGCAGAAGACCCAGGCAAACAGACATCAAGCACGCCCACAGAGTATGGCCAACACGGAGGCAGGTCAGTATCAAAGCACAAGAGCCTCAGCTACCAGACTAGAAGGGCACAGGCAGAGATGCAGGGCACCAAACCCTGCCGCAACATCCCCCAGTGTAGGTCAATCCCACAACCCAGTTGCTCTGGTGGCCCAGCACCCACACAAGGTTGGAAAACACCCCCAGGCTCTCCCAACCTATCAGGCAAGCCCCAATTGCTGCCATATAAAGAATTTCAAACTGGTGAAGGCTTCTTCACTACTTTTATAAATGACTTTTGTCAGCCACCCCACAAGCCAAGCAGTCTTCATTCATAAGCGTTGTCTATTCCTTTTATGTCTTTACCTCAGACTTCCAGTACAAGAGTACTGTTGTCTGCAAAACTACTCAGATGACTCTGCAGTCATCAGCTGTATCAGAGATGGAAAAGCAGCTGAGTACAGAGAGACCACTTTGTGGCGTTGTGTGGGAACAATCATCTCATCATCAATGTGAACAGTAGCAAGGATGATATCTGAAGATGTGGGAATATGCCAAACAACATCAAGTTAGTTAGTAAAAGGTTATATAGCATCTTTGAAGTTATAAAAGTCCCAAAGGGTTTCACAATAGACGATACAACAAGCCGAAAGCCAGCAATACATTAAAATACAGGAAAAGCCGTTTTCTTTCCTGCCCTTATCCTATGGGGTAGCATCATCAGTGACTTAAAAAAGCTGAACAGGCTTTTAAGTGGGCGGTTCTGTTCTGTTATGGAGCCTCTGGAGATGATTGTGAAACGAAGTATTTGTTTGTTTAAAGGAAGAAGATAATGGACAACCCTCATCCTCTTTAGAACACAGTAACTAAACAGCAGATTTCTTCAGTCAGAGATTTCCTTAGATCTCCTGCAATACAGACCACAAAAAGAGATATTTCTTCCCCTCATTTTATAACCATTGATAATGACCTCATGAAGAAACGTAGATAATGAGAGTTTCCACATCTACAGTAAAATTTGTGTTAAAGTGAATTAAATAAATCTCTGACAACTCTTTGCATGACAGACTTTACTTTGACAAGACAATTTTTGACATTTTCATATAACAAGATTTCATGAAAGATGAGCTTGTTACACCTCTATGATTAAAAAGCTCAATAAACTGAGGGAATTTCAGGGTACAAAGAGGAAGAGAATATACCTGTCATCGACAACTGCTCATCACATCCCTTAATTGCAGGCCATTACAGTTATTCATTACAATATGATGTAAGAAAGATGTTATAATAGAATTTTTCTTATCAAAGGGGGAGAGAAATTAACTCACAATAAGATAAAATCCGGACTTTGTCTTTATAAGTTTTATTCAAAGGCATTTCTCCGTTTGAAGACCCTGTCACTGACGAATCAGTGAAAACAGAGCCCAGAGCACAGTTTACAGACAGTATTTATAGCAAAGGAATGGGGTGTTGTCTCAGCTTCAAAGATTTTAACTTATGGCCCTAAAACCTTCCCAGGATAGAGGTAAGACAATTATTTATGAGGAAAAACCTGCTCTTCCTCAGACACAACCCCCAGGATGTGTTTTAACCATTAAACTTCTGGTAATGGTTTAGAGTCCATCCTACTCTAAATACCAGAACAACTAATAAAAACACTGAGGTCAGATAAGAGAGGTTAATGAAAGTTCACAACAAATTGGAATACTTTGGAGCACTAAATGAAGAATTTTTCCCATAACAACTCATTTTCTTCTGATTACAAGATAATCACAACTAAAAGGATAATTCTTCAAAACCATCCCCCAAGATTATAATCAAAGTTAAAACCAAAAAAAAACAAAGACAACACTTTAAAATAAACATCAAAATAAAAATAAAATAAAATGACTCCAACTTTTTTACCAAGCATGTCCAAACCACCAGTAATGAACAGGACCAAATTCCAAGAGGAAAAACCCATATTTTATTCTGTCGAGCCATCAGCAACTCCCAATTTATCTCTACCAGGAAAAGAAACAAAAAACCTGGTTTATTTACCTCCCGGGCCATACAATTCACCTCCATTCGTTAAGGTTGTAAGATTAAGAGTTAACACAAAGATCCTGAAATGGTAAAGGGCCCAGTTCTGATAGGACATGACTCAAGTTATGTCTGTTGATTAACGCACATGAAACAGATATAATAGTTTGCAACCCTCTGTCTTTCCCAGGAAAAAAGGTGTTTTTTCCTCCTGTGCAATACAAATATCTAGATTTTATAATTCCTTTTCCCCCAAAATCTATAAAAAATTCCTGTAGCAGCACATATTAAATTAGTCTCACTAGAAAATCTACTAACTTTTTCTGCTTTGCCTTACGATGTAATTTCCCCACCAAGGAAAAATAACCTCCCCAGCTGTTATGTTGCCAATTGGAAAAAAAGTAGTTAGAATAAAAAGCAGTTTCAGTAGGAAAAGGGTACCAAAAGGTTGATCATTAATAGCACGTAGAATCAAAAAAACAAACATAAACAAGTGTCATTTCTTATCTTCCTCACAGTTTGATGCATCAGTTGCCACCAGACATTATCAGTATGATCATGGTAGTCAGAGAAGTGATGAATCTCTCTTCGAATCAGCTGATGAGTATTATTGGCGTAATTACTCAGATTAGTCACACATTGTCTTAGCTGTACCTTTTCCCAAATAAACACAGGAGTAATAAAACTTGCAATACCAATCATCAGCATCAGAACGAACCATCTTCCATATAGCTACATCATGACCTTGAAGTGGAATGTCCTTCCTTCTGGTACTGAAAACGAACAGTTTTTTTTCCCGAAGAAAATAAATCATAAACAAAATTTTTAAATCCTGCTGCCTCTCCAGAGTGGCTTCTGCGCTTCAAGCTGCCCTGTTACCAGTCTGGTACAGGTGGGTGGTCGTAGGAAACTCCTCTAGGTAGGAGGTTCAGAACCAGGATGCTGCTCAGGGGATGTTCCCATGAACACCTTCCAGTGTAGCATAGACCCAGGTAACATGTTCTGCTACCTTGACAACGGTGTAGGATCTGATATGGGCGTTCCCAGCATCTGGACTTCAACTGTGTTTTCTGGGAATCAAGGAGTGGAGTTTTTTGGGAAGTGGCTGTTTTTCAGCAATGCAGCCTTCACAGTCTGTGAAACTTGAGGGGAAAGCACAGGGACAGGTTTTACAGCAAAACAACATCCTCTTCACACAGAGATGTGGAAAGCAGAGATCTTAGCAATATCCCCATGCCCAAATTAGGAGACCTGTCAAACAGCACTTCAAAAGTCTCAATCGTAAATGAAAACAATAAGCAGAACCTTCACAACCCTTTGGCTAATTTTAATTTCAAAGTCCCATTCTCAAGCCCAGGTGCTTAATTACATGAACTTCATAAAAACAGCAAAATAAAAAAAATTAATCTTCTGACTCCACCTAGTATACTAGCAGTGATCATCAACTAAATATTCTGAATATAAAAAATGTGACATATGA